AAAAGCTTCTTGTTTATCTCAGCTTTTAGCTGCTTCTAATTTTTTGGGTTTGGCTTCTTTCCTACCTTTCTTCTAATTCTTTTTTATTTTTATTTTTTTGCTCTTATTGCACTTAATCATGGATCTTTGACTCTTAGATTTTTTTTATTGTATCTCAATGAGCATTAGTGGGTTATCGATCTCTTTAAGTACTTGAAATTCATTTTGATGTATTAACACGTAAGCCCATAATTGGGCTTTCTCCAAAAAAAAAAAAGTTATCGAAAGAGATGACCTACTTATCAATGAACTGGATAACTAGAGTCATCAACCCATCTAGAGTAATCTCAATCATTCAAAATAAACTTCCAAAAGAAGAAAACATTTTAATGACTATGACATATCCCAACCTTACACTTCAAAGTCTATTATAGAGGACTTAAAATATAGTCCAATTTCTTCTCCATCATTAACTAGCCAGTGTAGTAAAGTTGGAAGTTGCTTGCAAATACAAGTGCTTTTTTAATTTAAATAAAGATATTTTAATATTTTAATTATTTATTAATTTGAATCAAACTCAAATTTTATACACATATACATATACATCCATACATACATACACACACACATATTTACATACATAACATACATAGCAATTTTTTTGATGAGATCAAAAAAAGATTTGAATCTAATTAATTTTTGGCTTGAATAACTAGCTATTAAATTAGTTTGAATCAACATCAGAAGAACTAATTTATAATCAAATTTCACTCAACTTAAAATCATATTAAATGACTTCGAGCTAATCTTAAATCAAAATCGAATATGCTTGAATGATTAATAGCATAGTTACATACCCTTGTTTGTCGCGCAACTTACAAAATGCTTTGAATTGGAGGGAGATCCTTGCTATAGTAGGGCATCCAATACTGTTCAAGAGACATAATTATATAAACTACTATGAATTTGGTTGTAATCAAACTTTTAAAATTAAAAATAAATGTTTCCATTAATTGAACCTAAATTAACATTCTTAAAGTAAAATATTTCCCAAAAAAATCTTTATGATAAGAATAAGAGGTCTATTTGGACCACATGGAACACAACAAAAATAAAATTTTAAAGAGGTTTAGTTGCAATTTGCAGAACTAGAATATCAAGGAAAGAATAATTTCAAATGAGTCCAAATGAAATTAACTATTTTTTTTTTAGACAAGACAAATTTTGGTCAGATAAATTCATGAGAAATATTAGATGATCAAGGGAGTTCAAGGGGAAGAAATCTTTTAAAAGTATTTAATTGTTTTGTGTATTATAGTATTATGATTACTAGGCTAATTATTAAAACCTTATATATCTTCCTAATTAATTAAGGCTTAAAAATAAAACAACTAGAAGATCTTATAAAATTTAATTATATTAAACATTAACAAAGGATAATTTATCATTATATTCTTAAGCTATATAGATACATTAATTATATATCATTAAAATCCATTTTAGAGCCAATATAAGGTTATTTTTAATTGTATCTATCATTAATTGTGTGGAGGAAGCCTACTCATCCTTTTGTGAAATTAAATGCTGACGGTATGGTGGGCTTGACGAAGGCTGGTGTGGGTGGTCTTATTCAGGATTGTAATGGAGACTTGTTAGCTGCTTTTGATGCTCCTATGAAACATTTGGATGTGCTGGTGGCTGAGTTATATGCTCTTCTATGCAGCTTAGAGTTGTGTATTAAAACTGGGCATAATTGCGTTTGGATTGAAGTTGATTCTTTGTGGCTGGTTCAAATTTTTAGAGATGGTTCTTATGGAAATGCTCAATATTTTTATATTATTAGGAAAATTAATTTGCTTTTGAATATTATGAAGTTTGAAATCTCTCATATTTTTAGGGAAGGAAATGGATGTGCTGATTGGTTAGCTAAGAAGGGAGCTAATCTTAATGTTTATGAGGAAGTGGATGCGCTGAATTTAGATATTGCTTTTAAAGGTTTGTTGATGACTGATAAATCTTCTCTACCCCACGTCAGGTATGGGTAATTACTATTTTCATTCTTTTGTTACGGCTCTCTGTTTGTGGTTGTATCTGCTCTTGTTGTTGGTGTTCTGGTGGCAGATGATTTGGTTATTTTGGATTTTGGCTGGAGGTTGCTGGTTTTGGAATTATTTCTGTCTGTCTTTGTTGGTTCTTCCCGGTTCCTGGGGATATCTTGCACTTTTGGTGGATTAAGCTCTATTTTTGGAATATCGTTACTCTCTTTGGTTTGGCTGCTGCGCTCTTTTTGATGGTTGATGGATGTTTTTGGCGGAGGTTTGGGCATTTCACTGTGCTCTTTAATTTGGCTGAGTTCTATCCTGCAGTTGCTGTTGCGGGGTATGATTTTGAATGCTCTTGTTTCTTGTATGAGGGGATTTTTACTGGAAACGTCTTTGATTCGTTTGTTCCCTCGGGTTATTTGCATTGGAATGGTGGTTTTGGTAAGATTATTTTGCTCGTCTTTTTATGTTGGGGGACGTGGTGTTGTCGTGCTATGCTGCGGCTAATATTTGGGAGAGCTGGTACCAATGGACTTATCTTGGTTGTTTGGGGAATACTGATGTTAAATTATATGATTATTATGCTATTTTCGTGATATATACCTGCAGGATGTTATTCACTTGTTATGGCAAATTATGCTCTGACTGCAAGGTATGTTTATTTTGGAATTTCGCAAATTTTGGTTGTTTTTATTGGTTTTTTTTTGCAGGAAGACTGAGCGGAATGAAATCATCATGAGCTTCCTTTTTTGGGATCTGTTGACTCACAGACCGAATTTAATTTTGAATTATTTTTGTAATTGTAGGAAAAGGAACCATCGGCTCATAGGTTTTTATTTTACTCTTTTATGTGTAGCTCGTCCGAGCAGTAGTGAGCTGAAGGTTCCTTCTAAGGACCTTGTAACCGCTTTTTTTAATATTAACGCGTAGGCCCCATGAGTGAGTTTTAACCAAAAAAAAAAGTGTTATATATATAAATATAAAAGAATTGTATAGAGTTTATATTTAAATCACCCATATTTAATATATTTGATGAATAGTTAAGCATTATGAAAATCAACAAAACTCAATCCAATAGTTTCATCTTTTGTTTGAAGATTAGATGGAGATGTACACATAATAAAACAAAATTGATAGGAGATATACATATATTTTTCTCTACAAGGGCTGCCATGAAAGCTTCACATATATTTGGATAACTTCATGCTTTTTATGACAGATTTAGGATTCTTTAGGAACTGCTTTCTTACTATTTTCTAAAACAAAATTTTATTTCAAAATTTTGTTAAATTAAAAATTTTTGTACTAAAAAGCTGCATTAGAAAGCATTAATAAAAGAAAATTGTCAGCTTTGTTTGTGACGACTTTTTTATTGTTTTATGAAGGGATTTTTTAGTTCAAATTTTTTTAAAATTATAATTTTTTTTACTAGAAAGCTATTTCATAAACAAGTAAGAAAACAACTTTTTAATCTTAAAATTTCAAATTCAAAAACTTTTTATACTAAAAAATATTTTTGAGAGCAGTAAGAAAGCTTATTTGTTTATTCAAATAAAGAGGTTCAAGAACTTGCAACGGCCACATGGTTGACATTTATTTCATTTGTCCAAACCTGTGATACCTCGTACAATACAATGGATGCAAAGCGATGTGGGGATGCTCCCAACCTTTCCACTTTGCTTTTACTCTCTTTGGCTTATTCATTTTATTCATGTGGAGGCATTTATCCACATAGCATGCATGCATGAGCTGCTAATTGGGAGAGTTTGCTCTATGTAGGATCCATGTAAATTTGATTAAACATACTTGTTTTAAAGTTTCCTCTGCAAATAATATTTGTTGAAGGGGCGAGTGATAAGAAGAATTAAGATTCTCCTTGATCTTGATCAGCTATATAATCATGATTAGTGATTAAAAATGTCTATTAAAATAATATACCTTTTAAAGTTTTCATCAAAATTTTACTCAAATTGAACATTCAAATACATTTGGTCTCAATTTCATATCGGAATCAGTCTATTTTTGTAAGGTGAGCAAAATAGAATTATTTAGAGCGTGCAAGATCTTGGGGGTGAAATAGAAAAGAAAAAAGTTATAATTATGAACAAATATATTTATTTAGAGTGAACAAAATAATTAAAATGTTTATCCTACTAAGTAAAAAAAATTAAAATTCATGATAGGCAATTGCTCTCCCTAAGTTTTACCCCTTGTTGATCACCCTAAACATAATTTGAATAATTAATTCGCTTGTATTCATCTCCTCAGCAGTCCTGTGCATACACAGTTCATCTTAGTTTATTGGTTGGGAGCTTAAGCTATCAACTAAGAGGTCTTTAGTTCGAGTCTTGTGTATGAGATGTGTGTGTGAGTATGCCTTAATTGGCCAAAAATACAGTCATGTGCATCTGATTAAGGCTTCATTTGGGACGACTTTATTACTGCTTCTTAAAGTAAATTTTTCATTAAAAAAATTTAATTTTTGTACTAAAAATTGATTTAAGAAACAATAAGAAAATTGTCCCAAACGAAATCTTATAACTGAATCAACATATACATAAACAACTTGTCATGGAAACTTTTAAATACAGAGTGAGATATTAGCTTCCCGTTCTGGCAGGCTATAGATAGAGACATAATAATTGAACTATAGGTTACAATGAGTCCGCACGAATAGCTATCACAAAGAATCTCCATGAAACAAAGCCCCTCTCACACTTTCAATTGAACTGCCACCTTATTAATATTCTTCTTCTACATGCTTCCGCAATATATATATAAAGTAAAGAGTACCATATAATACCCACTAATAAGAGAGAGAGAGAGAGAGAGAGAGAGAGAGAGAGAGAAATCCACTTGAAATAACAAGCTAAATTACTAGGCAAACTCTAGGGAAACAAATATGGCTGGATAGAAGTGTTATTGGAGTTAAGATCATCACATGCTACCACTGCCAAGGACTGATCATGAGACCCAGTGAGAACATACATATACTCCATCAGGCTGCTGTATCCATAGCTGCTCTCTAAATAAGGCATTGATGATAGAGAACTGAACCATTCCTGATCGTTGATAACCTGCTGATTATCCATAGCAATCCCAATTTTTGTGTCGATAAGGCCGCCTTTAGATTCAGTATGGAACCGTAACGGATCGACGAAGTCGAAAAATGTGTTGGGTTCATGATGATTATGTTGATGAAGCTGTTGCTGTTGAGGGTAAGATGGCAAAATGGAGCTATAAGAACCAGAGAGCTGCAAGGGTTGGGTGGGAGCTGGATTTTCCATGTTAGGTTGCAGGCCTTGGGAATTATATATTTGTGCTGCTATACTGGGGTGGTTATAAGCTGGTTGAAATTGATCTTGAACATGAGAAGTGTGAAATTCGAATGATCTTAGTGGGAGTAAATCTTGAGGAGGTGGAATTTGGTTTGAGAGATTAGGAAGCGAGAGGCCTTCCACAGCTTGAGCGATGAGCTTTTTCTTAATTGTGGAGTTCCAAAAGTTCTTTACTTCATTATCTGTTCTTCCTGTTAGATGTTTTGCTATCTGTGCCCATCTGCAGCTTAGATATATAACATATCATTCATTTAAAATTAACTGACAGATCTCTATTTTAGCACTCAATGTATAGAAGAAAGGATGAAATCTTACCTGTTTCCCAAAATCCTGTGGAGTTCAATGATGAGAGTTTCTTCATATGGAGAGAAGCTTCCTCTTTTAAGGTCTGGCCTAAGGTAATTGATCCACCTTAGTCTACAACTCTTGCCACATCTTTGCAACCCTAAGCTTATAATAGCAATGTGAAAATGAATGCTTCCAATATTCAAACAATCAACTAAATGGAATAAATTGATAAGCAAAAGCTATAAGTTTTTAAAATAAACGAGTTTAGTCTGAACCTGCACGTCTTGGCACGGAGCTCCAGCAGCCATGGCCGTAAGTTGAGATGTACTTGGTGAGCTTTTCGTCCTCTTCTGGCGACCAGAGGCCTCTCCTGACCTTCTGCTTGTTGCAGCAGGAATGGTGGCCCATGATCTTAGATCGTAATTAGAAATTACCCCTCTTTTGCTATCTTTCCTTTTGCTTTGATATTGCTTGTTTTAATGTGCTTCTTCTTTGCCTTTTAAGTTTGAGGAAAGCATTAAGAGAGGATCCAGAAATGAGAAGCGGAAGAAGAAGTGCTCTCTCTCTCTCTCTCTCTCACTACATCTAAGGCTTAAACTAATGAATTTATTTTCAGTGGAGAGAAGAGATAGGTTGGCTTATATGGAGCTATAAGGTTGCAGAGAGATGTATTATGAATTATATAAGGTCAATTTCCAGCATGTGTGACATTTTTAGTAATTATTATTAGGGTAATAAATGAATCAGATTGAGTTGAATATCATTTTTGATATATCATCAAAAAATTATCTTGATCGGGCACGAATCTCGAGGTAAAATCAAGTCGGAAACTTCAAAAATTAAATCCGGGATCACCTGAACTCCGATTTCAGCAAACTTACAGTCAAATTGAGCATCTCAAAAATTTGAACCCAACAACACCAAATTCGACTCAATCCGAGCCCAAAAGAGTCCAATCAAGAACCTGAAGCATTGTTGGAAATTTTGTACCGCAATTTGAGTTACCAAACGGTTTCCAAACATGAAGAGCTTATAGTCGAATCGAGCGTCTCGATGAAACAAATCCAACGAGCCCAAGATCTTTAAATTCTGACATCATTAAGGCCTTCAAATGTCTGACGAACGGTACACGATCAAGGGATTCAATATCGATCATCCATCCAACCACTCCCCCATTTACCCCTGATCTCTCGCCTATTTACAGGTCATGTCACCCCAGAAAATTTATAAATAAACCCCTTATTTCTCTTGAAGGGGTACCCAAGCAAGAGAAGAAGCAAGAGAAGAAGAAGAGAAGGATATGAGGGAAGAAATTCCTCCTCGACCACCACTCCTCCTCGACCACCGCCAGAATTTTTCCCGACACCCGAGTGACACCGGAATTTTGCCCGACGCCCAAGTGACACAGGAATTATGCCCAAGTGACGCCGGAATTCTGCCCAAGTAACGCCGAAGAAATTCTACCCGACGCCCAAGTGATGCTGGAACTCTACCCGATTTCCGAGGGACGCCGGAATTCTAAGTAACTCTGAATTCAGCTCAAATACACAACTTGTTTGTAATTGGATTTCACACCAGAAGTGAAGCTTTGTAATCTGATGGTCCTAAATTTTTAGGACATGTCAGTCTCTTGTACCTCAAGCAAACACTAGTGGAATTATTTCAACTGAGCTTAGCCCCCATGGTTTTTTTCTTTTCCAGGATTTTCCACGTAAAAATCCTGGTGTTTTTTCTCTCTAGTTTGTGTGCTAAATATTCGTACAATGCTGAGACAAAAAATTTCTAACTATATCGCCGTGTATATTCTAGCCTGCAACAATTTTATTTAAGCTCATTCATTTATTTTCTTACTCGGTACGAATCGAGCTCCAAAAAAATCAAAGTTTTAAAACCTCATTCAAGCTTTAACAAATTATTTGTTTTTTTTTTTTCCAAAATTGATAAAATTTACTTGATATTTCTAGTCATTTGTTTGATATTTTCATTATATATATATATATATGTGTGTGTGTGTGTGTGTGTGTGTGTGTGTGATACGCCCTCAAAAAATTATCTTGATCGGGCACAAATCTCGATGTAAAATCAAGTTGGAAATTTTTTAAACTAAAATTGGGACCATCCAAACTCTGATTTCAACAAACTTATAGTTGAATTGAATGTCTCGAAAATACGAACCCAACGACACCAAATTCGACTCAATCCGAGCCCAAATGAGTTCAAATCAAGGATCTGAAGCGCTTTTGGAAGGTTCAAACCACAATTTGGTTACCAAACATGATGTGCTTATAGTCAAATCGAGCTTATTAACGAGACGAATACAACGAGCCCAAGATCGCTAAATTCCAACATCATTAAATCCTTCAAATGTCTAACGAGCTGTGCATGATCAAGGGATTCAATATCGACCATCCATCCAACCACTCCCCATTTACCCTTGATCTCTCACCAATTTACAGGCCATGCCACACCAGAAATCTATAAATAGACCCCTCATTTCTCTTGAGAGGGCGACCGAAGCAAGAAGAGAAGAGGAGAAGAGAAGGAAGAGAATGAAGAAGCTCCTCCTCGACCACCGCCGAAATTTCTCCGGACCACCGTCGAAGCTTCCCTGGACCACCACTTAAGGCCCTCACTTTCGCCAGACCACCACCTGAGGCCCTCACCTCCGCTAGACCACTGCCTGACTCCGTTGCTCTGTCGGACCACCACTTGAGGCCCTCACCTCCGCCGGTTCATCGCCTAATGACGTTGCTTCGTCGGACCACCACCTAAGGCCCTCACCTCCGTCGGAACACCGCCTGACGCCATTGCTCCGCCAAACCACCACTTGAGGCCCTCACCTCCACCGGACCACCGCTTGAGGCCCTCGCCTCCGCTAGACCACTACCTGACGTATTTGCTCTACCAAACCACCACTTGAGGCCCTCACCTCCGCTAGACATACCACCGCCTAACATCATTGCTCCGTCAGACTACCACTTGAGGCGCTCACCTCCGCCAGACCACCGCCTGACACCGTTGCTCTACCAGACCACCACTTGAGGCCCTCACATCTGTCAGACCACCGCCTAGTGTCGTTGCTCTACTGGCCACCACTTGAGGTTTGGACTTCTGCAAGCTTGAATTAAGCCGAGAGTTCTCCCGAAGTGTCGCCCTTCTACAATGGTCTTTCAAAACCATTCTCCTGCCGACTACGATTCTTTTGACCTCCGTCACCTACTATGGTTCTTCCGACCTCCATCATTAGACAACAGTCTTTCTGACATTGGTCTCCTGCCGACTACAGTCCTTCCGACCTCTGTCGTCTATTATGGTCCTTCTGGCCTCCATCAAAAGACAATGGTCTTTCAGACCCCAGTCTCTTGTCGGCTACGGTCCTTCCGACCACAATTGCCTACTATGGTCCTTCCGACCTCCATCAATAGACAACGGTCTTTCTGATCCGGGTCGATCTCCTACCAACTACGATCTTTCAGATCTCTGTCTCCTGCCGACTACGGTCATTCTAACCTCTATCACCAGACAACGATCTTTCCGACCTCTATCATATCGACTATGGCCTTGCTGACCAAACAAACACATCTATGTTGATTATTGTAACTCCCACCATGTAATGCGCTCTATATGATATACATTTGTAACATCAAGCCAAGGCCTTCTCTCTAAGAAGGGGCTCATTTGTTATCGACTGCAAATACTAGTGGATTCATTTAAACTGGGCCAGACCTCGTGATTTTTTCCCCTTTTTAGGGGCTTCCACGTAAAAACTCTGGTGTCTCTTAAGAACGTTACACCCTCTTACTTATATGCTTGTGTGCTGGATCTTCGTACAATGCTAAGACGTTAAACTATATATTTCTCTACCGCCGTGAATACTCAAGGACGCAACAATGTGTAATAATATTCATAAAATTTAAATTGCATAAATATGGAAATTTTGATTAAAAATAGAATAAGCACTAAATAAATAACAAGGCATCGTTATATGAGTTTTTTTTTGTGGTGGTAGGGTGCCCAATAGCGGTTTGGACGACGGTTGGTGGTGGTGGCGGCCGGTGGCAGCGGCGGCGACCGACAGGTGGCGGCGACGATGGGTGGCTAACGGGTGATGGCAGTGATCAAGCGAGCTTAATTACTTGCATTGTAAAGTAAAGTAAATGTAGTATAAATCATTTGCATAATTCCTTTTTCATCCAGCCAAATACCAATATTTTCAAAATCCTTGCATTTAGAATACTTTACACTCAATTTACTTCCAATCAAACAACGCCTTATTTATAATATAGTTGTTGAAAAAAAAATCAAACATATTCACAATAAATTAAACAGATGAGTCAGTAATATGATGAGTTTAAAAAATATAATCCAACATTAAAGAAACAAATATAAATGAATTTATGTAATTAATGAGGATTGAATTGCTCCAATTATAGTGCATGCCTCATATTACTTATATTTATATGTCTTTTATTTTTTAAGGCCCAACTTTAGGATGCAAAATATTATCATAGTAAATATATATTTTACAAAAAAAAAACTATGATAAAATTATTTCAATTTACTTTGTAAGAACACTAAGAACAAATGAACTAAGAAATCAACAAATATGAAATAATCACAATATTTTTTCCTTAAGCAAAATAAATAGATAATATTTTTTGCATTTATTTTTTCTATATTTCTTATATTTTGAGATTACATGAGCTATGAGTAGAATGCATGGGCGCTAACCAATTCTCACGAACGGCTTAGATAGCACAAAATGGGGAAAGTATGAGTTGGCCGAAGCAATAGCTGCATGAAATAATGAACCGTAAGAGGACTACGGGATTGACCAAAAGTGGATGGGGCCCACAACTATTTTGTAACCACCTGCAACGACAACGATTGATACTGTGTAATGAGTCGTGTGGTGCTGAAGTCATCTAAAGATTCTAAACTTTGGTTTGGTTGGGAACCATTTTATTATTATTTTGTAAAGTTAATATATTGAAAATAATTTTTTGAAGTTGTTATAAAAAATAAAATTTTTACTATAAATTTTTTTTTTTTTGAAAGTGGTGAAAAAGTAATAAGCAAATAAAAATTTGGATTGAGGTCTCAAAAGAAAAGAATGCGTAGGCCCCTTCATGAATTTATCTAAAAAAAATTGTAAAAAAAAGATGAGAACATGAGTGCTTAAGTATATGATATGGTGTCCTATTTCTATTATAGGGAAGGAAGAAGTTTCCACTAATCAAAGAAGTGATATATATTTACAAGTTGCAATCTGGTAGAATTGTAGGGATGAGTTCCATTACAGAAAATTCACTAAATATCGGCGGCATTTCCGACGGTCATACTAACAACCGCCGGAAAATCTCCCATTCTGCCAGAAAAATCCATCGGTATTGGCCGATTTTCCTGTT